CGGGCCCCCCCCCCCCCCGGTCCGCCGCTGGGTATAAATCATCGTCCAAATCATCAGGATTTGTCATTTATTGTTACATGATATGGCCAATAACATACTGTCTCTGGCCTGCTGTCCTTTTCAATTGCTTGGGTTTTTTTTAAGACCATGTTCTGGAAAACCTAAATATGTCAAGTAAGTACCTATTATGAGTTCACTATGTCTTGATGGAATTTACCTTTATATATGTTGGTTTCCTTATTTATTGAGAAGGATTATTATATTCACAGTACAGTAATACCCAAATATTAAGTGTTAGTTTTTAAAAGGTTGCTAAAAAGTTAAGGTCCAAATTAATAATTAATTTTAACTGCACATTTCATTAAATCCACAATTTTTGTTAAATTTTCAACCATTATTGTCAAAAATTGATCAAATTAGACCGTTTAGATTCCTAAATTGTCAATTGTGCAATGTGTACTTATCATGTCTAATATTATATGTTAAGCTCTTGTTTAGACTCCATTTTATTGAAAATGCATTTTTCTCTCTTTAATTTCTTTTCGATCACACATTATCCAATAAATTAATATTACATGTAAATCCAATTTTTTTTCTTTTTTAACCACACATTTTTCAAAAAATCACTATTCAAAAATGCATTTTCCCCAAAAATTTGATTTTAATGGAGCCTAAATATAAAACTCCCACACGCACAAAGAGTGCTCGCGGCCTCTTTCTTCAAACCTCTATATGCAAGTAGCATTCTTTACTAGGCATTCAATTGCATTCTTAAATTAATGCTGCAACTGGCATTTTTGACATTTTACATGTGGAAAAGACGAGAAGTGAAGTCACTCTAAACTTAATATGAGTACCGGCCACTAACATGGTAATTGGTGAGTCGATAAGTACGAGGTTGGAGACACCTCAGTTATACAGTGAAAGAAACAATAGATACTAGGATTGAATAAGACGTTACTCGTTTCACAATGTTTTGTTGAAAGTGATTACCACGTAGAAATGTACATATAAAAGTTACTTGATAACCATTCATTCATAAAATACTGGGAAAATTGCAACATGATGTGGGTGCCACCCCACTATCAACAACTTTGGTAATGGTTTATTTACTGTCTTTACGATATCACCATTCTTATCCTTCTCGAAGAATAAAAGTAACAAGGATTGCAATAATTAATAATCAATATATAGTAGTTGAAAAATATTTAGTTCCGACCATTATGGGGACTAATTTGAAAAATGAAAATTAGGCCAAGCTAGTGTGGAACTTTTGGGGATTTTTTTTTAGATATAGATAGATTGAATATTCTTGAATGCCAATCCTATTGAACTACAAAAAGATAAAAGATCGTCATATCTTACTGATTATTAGAATTCAGCCCTTTTAAAATCTCAAGAGGAAAGTCCAGATCTCCATTGGAGCAAGCTCAAAAATGACAATTGACATCTCCATGGGACCACCTCTAATTCGATCCGAGTCGCTTCCATTATGATCTTTAACTTCCCAAGCCATCCTCTTCATTTCAGACTTGTCTTGGTTTGCTGATAAGCTTGTTTCTTTGAGCGCCTATATACAAGAACAAATTTAATATAGACGGACAAATTTCGGATCATTTATAGTCAAATACGTAGGCTAAACGTCAGCTTCTGATCCTTTTGCATCGTCCATTCACCAACTCAGTCAAAGGACGGGGAAGGACTTTAATTGCATGTTTGATAACATGTGAAAACTGGAAGCCAAATCATTAAAGAAATGTATGGAGTAACTCATGGTACTAATTCATAACGTTAATCCTTCACATGTACTATTAACACATACTAACTCATCAAGGAGTTCAACTAAACCTGCCAGATCATATTTGATTATGTGTCTGAGTAGTTACAAAATTGAAAAAAGTAAAATATGTTTGTGGACAGGAATTGTTAGAAAATAAAACTTTATATAAAATGATCAAAGAAGGAAACTAGTTGGAAGCATTTGGCATATCATGGAGCATCAATTCAATTTCCCTATCATTATTGCTGGATCCTCCAGTTGCCCGATCAACCAAAAGAGATTATTCAGATTTATTGTCAGCTATCAAATTTCCAAGATTGATCTGAACTGAAAAAATTAAATTTTTAATCACAGTCAGTTCATTTACCTTTATTAAATGAAACCAGAAGCAAAACCGTTGGGAATTTACTAAATCATTTACAACGAAAAATAAAAAAGATTTTAATTCCCACTAGGGATCTACTTTATATTTAGATAGAAACCATGATAGAAAATTATACTTTTGATAAATTCCTTGAAAAATAGTTTTGATTTGCAACTACATCAGTCCAATTTTTCAACTTTCAATGAAAATCGACACAGGAAACAAAATTGAGAGAACTAAAATCTTTCTTTTCTTGTTCTAGTAAGAATATAATTATATCATGTCATAATTTATCAAACTCTAGCGGCCTATTAATAGAAGTCCAAGTGGGGTTGGCCGGTCTCTTAAACTTAATCTGGACCAAATTTTAATTAATCCATTTTATTAAATTTGGTCCATGAATCAATTAACTCAATTAATTAATTCGTGCCAATTAATAGACAATCTAATTAATTAATTATTCAGTGCTTGTCAATTAATTAATTGGATAATTTCATTTTCTAATTCTCATTTTGTGTGTGACCCATTAGGTTTCTGATGCCTATCGATGTGAATTATTATTTTGATCTAATCAAAATCGATAAATTAAAATACCCCTTTCAATTTATCATCAATTCACATCTTTCATCCCAGATTGACATCTAGTAATGTGTCAGAACAATAAATATGATGGGAAATATCACTTGGTATAACAAAATCAAACATGTTCATTTATCGTGAAACTATAATCCATTGGTCAATATAATCCGATCAATTATGAGATATGAAAACGTGTCAATATCGATTATGGATCATATCTTTCATCCCATTATTAAGTCAATGTTAGTCAAAAATTCTTTTCGACTTATGAGTACATATTAGCCAAGGATTTCGTTATCTACTTAACTAAATTTAAATGTAGATCATAATCTCTCACCATCTAAGAGTAACAAATCCCATATTGATCTTTCACAACATCACCAAAGCATGACTGTCTCTATATAAGACACTATAATGGCCTCAAGTCAAATAACCAATTTCACTACCAAATGTTAGAGATTAACCACTGATACTCTGATAGTTATCAACGTGGAATCTCTACATTGGGTCTACAATATTTTGTTCTATAACAAAACATTCACGTGTTCATTTAAGTATCTTCACACTTTAACTTATGAGATCAGCTACTCATTTTAACAGTGAGCAATGCTAGTTGTAATAACAATATCCGTATCTCATTACTTATGATCTCGAATTATTTAAGATTCAATCATATTTAATTTCTATCTCATAATCACAATTCTTTGTAATTAACAAGTTACCAATACTTAAATCTATGAAATCTATTATTTAATTTATTAGAATATCAATTCAAGTAAATAATAGATCGGCCATAAATGAAATGCATCAATTATATATTAAAAATGTCTATGTCAAAGTTGATTGAACTTATGGCATAACATTTACAAGCTCTTACTGACACTAAATCCAATCACTTATATATCTAATGTCATAAGAGTCTACATGACAATCATATTTATGATGTGACAAATCTTTGTCAATGGATCTATAATTTAATAACTTGTGGGAATTCCTTCCTTTTTTACGTCATTTCATTGTATTATCTCTCCAATGAGATGATATTGCCGTAATACATATTTGGATCATTGATGAGATCTTCATTCCCTCGCTTACATGACGGCTCAATTTTTGTCACAATTTAGAGGTATAGAATCAATAATGTTAGGAACTACTCTATATTCATTAATGAACATCTTGATCTAGACAGCAATTCTTTGCTACTTCTAAAGCAATGGTGCATTAGACTTTTGCTATTAATGAACTTCTTGATCCAACTAACCACTCTATAATTAAGAGTAAACATATATCCATATTAAGACTTTCCATCTTCTAGTCTGACTAGAATTTAGTATCAATATATCCATGAATTCTCAACTCATTTTCTCTATATAAAATCTTCTTGAGATTTTATCTATGTAGATTAGAATGAATCAAGCAATCTTTTAGATCTATTTTTATAAATCAAATTGCTTCTCCCATATCTTTCATGAAGAAACTCTTTGACAAACACAATTTCAACAATTAAAATATAGGAACTTCGTTTCCTATCAATAATATGATATTTACATATATTATTAGGAATACAACAATTCTCTCACTATTTGTTTGTAAACACATGGTCATCTTTATTTCTGATAAGATCTAACCTTCTGATTCTCTCATCAAATCAAAGATTCTAACTCCTAGAGACTTGCTTCAATCTATAAATAGATTGATCGAGCTTCCATATCCTGTTAGCATCTTTGGATTCAAAACCTTTAGGTTGTGTTATGTACCCTTCCTCCTACAAGTTCCCATTAAGGAATTCAGTTTTGACATCTATTTTCCATATCACATAGTCATGCTATGTAGCTATTACAAGTAAAATCTAAATGGATTTTAAGTATGGCTACAGGTAAAAAGGTTTCATCAAAGTCAACTCTTTATCTTTGTTTGTAATCATTTTGTTACTATCCTTATTTTGTATGTATGGATGTTTCCATCTACGTCGACATTTTTCTTATAAACCCATCTATAAGTTATGGGTTTTATCTTATCAGGAGGGTTGACCAAAGTCTAAACCCTGTTTACATACATTGAATTCACT